GCTAAATTGCTGAGGCTGGCCTCCAACTTGCAATCCTCCTGCCTCACCTCTGGGGTCACTGGGATGGCAGGTGCAGCCACCACGCGGCCACTGCTGTCAGCCTACTATGTGAGCCACACAGTTGAGACCTCACACCTTCGACGCTCTCTGAACACATGCAGCATCCTTCCCTGTCACTACAGATGAACGCATGCGAGACYGTCCCTTCTGTCCCACTCACCCTCTGGTGGGCACTCTCTGCCCCCAGTGACGCTCAGCAGAGGGGCCCCCAGCGGAGCTGACGCAGGCCCCCARAGCTCTGCTGGAGCAGTCCCAGCCTCAGGGCCACAGCCCAAGAGCACAGTCCTGCCCACAGCCACAGAGGAAGCTGGCAGGCAGACCCTGTCCCTGCCAACCCTCGAGATGACTGCCACCCTGATGACATCTCGGTGCCCTCTGTGAGACACCTGGGGCCGGCAGGTGTCTGAATCCTGTCCCACAGAAGTGACACGCGTGATCATCCACGGGTGTGGCCTTCAGCTGCTGGGTCATGGGGTGATCTGTTCTGCAGCAGCAGGTGCGTAACACACTCCGACATGACGGCAGGGTCAGTCCTCTTTGTAAGTCTTTTAAATTCTTTTCCCTGTACTTTTTTTTTTTTTTTTTTTTTTTTTTTTTGGTACCAGGGGTTAAACGCTGGGTGCTTCATCACTGAGCCACATCCCCGGCCCTTTTTATTTTTATTTACAGACAGAAGTCTCACTAAGTTGCTTAGGCCTCGTAAAGTTGCTGAGGCTGGCTTTGAACTTGCGATCCTCCTGCCTCGGCCTCCCAAGTCACTGGGATTACAGGTGTGTGCCATCGGGTCTGGCTCCCGATACTCTTTGGTCCATAAAATGAGGCAGGGCCAGAAGGGAGAGCCCAGAGCCCACAATTGGTACCTGTGATGGGAGGTCTGCCCAGAGAGGAAGGGGACTTACCCCTGCTGTCCCTCTAACTCATGCTGGCATCTGGCAGCCTTTCTAATAGCTGTGGAGACAGGGAACTGTCTCTCAAGGTGGTCCCCGGGCTTGGGGCCAGCTCAATTGCAAGAAAGGCCCTTCTTACTTGGAGCAGAATCTTTTCCCCTGTAACCTCCTCCACTCACTGTCCTGGTTTTGCCCCTCGGATGGCAGAAAGCAACCCTGATCTCTTCTTTCCAGTGTGGCACAAACATGCATGGGGTCAGCGTGGGGCGTCACCCGCTGGGAGTCATCCCATTCTGCTCTCACAAGCTGGATGTGACCCTGCCATACCTGTGAGCCCAGCCTCTGCCGTAGAGGGCTGTGCTAGGTTTTGTGACCGGTTTTACTCTGGGGGACGGGGTGGTGCTGGGAGGGAACCCAGGGCTTTGCAGCCTCGAGTCGGGTTGAAGTGAGACAAGTTCATAACGTCCTCAGCACAAGGGCCGAGGGGTCGGGTCCGTGCCCCACGCCTGCCCTGGCAGATGACAGGTGCTACAGGGCCACTGCAGCCCTCGCTCCCGTCGAGACCTGGAGCCTGGGTCCCCTGCCCTGGAGTCTGGGCTGGCTCTCTGGCTGCTTGACCACAGAACATGGCACAAGGGACCCGTGCCGGGCGCAGGGCCCAGCCGTGAAGGACTCCTGCGCCTACTCTTGGAGCCTTGGCTCTTGTGTCCTTGGGGTCCTGGGCCACACGGCCCAGCTGAAGGGGCCAGCTGAGCCCCCCTCAGGCCCCCTGGGACGGCCCAGCCTCGGGTTGAATTTCCACCAAGTGACCTCGGGCAGCAGCAGTGAGAAAAAGAACCCCCCAGTGAACTCTGCTCCCGTTCCTGATCCCCAAACAGGAAAGACGGTGACATGATTGTCTTCGCTGCTCAATTTGGGGTAATTTTGTTGCATAACCAGATGCGCAGACCCCGTCAGATATCTGATAATGAYGGCTGCTTTTGAGACTGAGCCTCCCCCCAACACCCCACAGCGGCTGCTCTGGCCTCCTAGGACCCCTGAGATCAGCTCTCTTCTGGACAGAAGCTCCCCAGTGGACGCAGCCCTCAGAGTGGTCTGCCCTGAGCAGCTAGGATTCTACCCAGAATGACTTAAGCAGCTGGGCCTGGAGGCACATGCCTGTAATCCCAGCTACTCAGGAGGCGGAGGCAGGAGGATCACAAGTTGGAGGCCAACCTGGACAATTTAGTAATACCCTGTCTCAAAATAGAAAGGGCTGGGGATGTAGCTTAGTGATGGGGTGCCCTTGGGTTCATCCCACATCCACAGAAGCAGAACGAGGAAACAAAAATCCARAATGATTTAAACAAAAAGGAAATTAATGAGTCCCAATGTCTTCAGGCATGGCTGGATCCGGGTGCTCCCCAGTTTTCAAGCTCCATTTCCTTTGGGAAGACTTCATTGTTAGACTCTTCTCGTGACAACAAATGACTTTAGAGACAGCTTTTTGTCCTCTCAGGTTCACATCCACATTCTCACAACATTCCCAGCAAAAGTTTCATTGATTCTCTTTGAGGCATAGCTGTGTGGCCTAATTGGAGCCAATCACAGTGGCAAGATAGTTGGAAATGCCTGGGAGCCCAGGGACAGTAGGAATTAAGAATAGAAAGAGTGATTCTCTAAAGGAAAACCAAGGACACCCTCACAAGGGAAGAATGAGTGGATGCCTGGTGGCAGAACTATATATATATATCCTCCTCAACCATTAAAACTAGTGAAAAATCACCTCCCTCACTGTAGATGACATACTTCTATTAATACAGTGCAGGGTGACGGCATCATCTCACAGTGATGACTCATACCTGATGCTCGAGGGGATGTGTTTCACGTCCAGTGCTGCTCAGAATCATCTCCTTCATCCCCTACAGTCAGRGGTGCAAGCATTTGAAAGTCCTCCCTCTCCATTCCTGTCTCAAGCTCAGTGAGGCTTTGGGGACATGGAGATGAACAAAACTAGACCTGTGTCTCTCCCCCTTCCCTGAGTGAGCATCCCTCCCCCTCCTCGCAGAGTCAAAGGAACTCCTGGGAGAAAACTGAGGCCCAGAAGCAAATTTCACTGTGCAGATGGATGTTGTGAACCCAGGGTCAGACCCGACACTCTGCAGGGCTGGTGGTTTGGCACAAAAGGCGTGGGCACAGGTGAGTAACAAAACAAGAAACCTGGCCAGTGCCCAAGAGCTGGCAGGGCACGGGGACTTGTGAGAAGCTGGCTCTAAAATCATGGACGTTTGAAAGTGAGCCCCGAATTCATCTCCCAGGTGGGTCAAGAGATGCTCAGAAGGGCACATACACACCCCAGGGTCACTGACCCCATGACTGACAGAGCGACCCCCAGAATCCAGTCCTCCAACAGCTCACCTCTCCTGTCCAGGAGCCCTGAGCCAGCCCAGGTTGCGTCATGTGACCAGACCCCTCTAATCTAGGAGGGAGCTGGGAAGGGGGCAGCCAGGGGTCCCTCTGTTCACCCATTCGAAAGCCATCAAGAATCCCCCAAGTTCCCAGCCTGGCGGGCACCRGGCACTGACAGGGTGTTCACCAGCATATTCCACAGAGGCCTCTACCGCTAGGGTCAGGAGTGCTCACTGGTGGGACTTCCCCGCCCAGCTGCGAAGATACTTGCACAGGTCCTTATGTGAGGGCTGCAGGGACCGGACCGTCTGTCCCCTGGCGCCCACAGCCCACTGCAGCATCCGAGTTCCCCACCCTGCCAGGAAGCTCCCGGAGCCGCCAGACTCCTCCTGGACAACACTTGGACATTCCAAGCACCATGACCTACCAGTTGGCACAGCTCCAGGCGTGAGCAGGCTGGGAGGCGSGATGTGGCTCCCCGGGCAGGAATCTGGACACCAACCTGGCTCCTCCCGCAGCTGGGCCTGGAGGAGAGCTCCCCTTGGGTTTTCCCCCTGGGTGCCCCTGGGCACTGCCAGCTGGCAGCCTCCCGCCTGGCAAAACCTGGTCACCCCAGGCCACGGTGCTGCCTGGCCCAGGTCCCCCTTTTCTCTGCCCTCCCCGCCCCTGAGCTTCCCTTGGGGCGGGAAAGGTCTCCGGGTCCCTTCTCCTGCTCACTCTTGGGGCTGCCCACCTCACTGAACTCACTCGTGGTGAGAAATGGGAGTTTCGGCTTGGGACGTCTTGATCCCTACTCCCCTTCCAAGGAGACACCGACCCTTAGATCATCTTTAGCATCTGCTGGGGCCTCTGGTTTGAATCCCTACACTCTGCCACTCTAGCTCTGTGACCTTAGGGAAGTTAATTAACTTCTCTGGGCCTCCATGTCCTCCTATCAAAAAATGAGATTAATGGGTAGTCCTTACCCATGGGTTGTTACAGGATTAAAGAGATCTCGCCTATAATACWCTGAAAGTTCCAGATAAAGCAGTCAGTATAGAGCGGGCGTGTCGCCATCCCACAGGATGCGACACTAAGCATTGACCGGTGCAAAGGTTTGGGGGACCTGTCCGCACTTGCAACCCATCTTTCTTGCAATGGGAATCCCCACGACCGGCTTAAGCCGGCTCCCTGATCGCTGGGGTTCAGACACAGGACAGGCGGCGGGGAGCGGTGCACACGGCGGCAGACGGGGGCCGGGGGCAGGGGGAGCCGCACGGCCCGGCGCTCGGCACACGGCGTCCCTCTGCACCCWGCCCGCGGCGCGCGGCTCCCGCCTGGAAGTGCACGTGGGCCGCCTTCCGGGAACTGGCTCCCTGCGGTCCGTGTGCACAGGGGGCTGCGCTCGGCCCCGGGCGCCGCGCGGAGCAGCGCGTGACTCAGCGCTTGGCGAGCTCAGGCTGCGCCCGGCCCGCGCGGAGGTTTTGCACTCGCCCGGCTCCGGCCGCTATAAAGGCAGCGCGCGGCGCGCCCGCTGCACCACGCCTCCTCCGGATCCTGCCATCCCGCCGCCTCTGTCTGCCGACTCCAGCCTCCAGCCACCTCCTCGGCTCGCCATGGACCCCAACTGCTCCTGCGCCACCGGTAACTGACCGGGACCGCGTCGTGGGTCGGGGGAGGCAATTTCTCGTCCCTCTTTCTCCAAGCCCTCAATCTCTAACTGCCCCTTCCCAAAGCGATCTGGTGTGTTTCTGGTATAGAGTATTCGGAGCCCCGTTTTACCAAGAAGCCACCGAGTTAGTGGCTTTCCCAGGTTCCCACAAGCTGTTGGTGGGACCGAAGGACTCGCACCCGGACTCCTAGCGCGCAGCCCCGCGCTCGGGTGTCCGGGAGCCTCCCTCACCCCCGCCTTTCTTCCTCCAGGTGGTTCCTGCACCTGCGCCGGCTCCTGCAAATGCAAAGAGTGCAAATGCACCTCCTGCAAGAAGAGTGAGTGGGGGTCTCTCTGCCCCGTCCCGCCCCCTTAGTCCTCCAACCCGTGCCCGTCCCGCTACTCCCGTCCGCGGGGTGATTCAAGCAGCCCGGGGGTCGCCTTCTCTCCCTAGTCGGCGCCTCCGCAGCGGCAGGGGTCCGGGTCCGGGAGGGCGGGATGCTCGAGCCCTCTCTCTCTGACGCTCATCGCCGCCGCCGCCTCTCGCCCGCAGGTTGCTGCTCCTGCTGCCCCGTGGGCTGTGCCAAGTGTGCCAAGGGCTGCGTCTGCAAAGGGGCAGCGGAAAAGTGCAGTTGCTGCGCCTGATGTGGAGGGAGCCCCGCTTCCACGTGTAAATAGAACAACATGAAGAAGCCCGGATTTTTTTTTTTTTACAACCCTGACCCATTTCCTACATTTTTTTTCTATAAAATATGTAACTGACAATAAAAGTTGTTGACTTGGTTTTGACTCAGGTTTCCTTTGTGTGCCTAGAAGAAAGGCTGGGGTGAGGGACTGAGCGGGGGATACCGGTCCGGCTCCGGCTTCCAATGTAAGCCTCTAGCAAACCGAGAGCTTTCAGGCAAACCAGGCCACATGGCTGAGCCTCAGCTTGGGGAAAACACAGGGTGGCGTACCAGATCCTACAGTGTGTTTGGGGGACAGTTACAGAATTCCCTCCGCGGTGGAAACTTTTGTAAATCTTTATTCCTTGATTTCTCTGCCCAATTTCAGTTCCCCATTGGGTCTTAGGTTTAAGAAACAAAGGGTGTGGGATCCAACTCCATTTGCTCCAATCTTAATATGGAGCTTCTTAAATCCCTGTGTAAAAAAGGATTTTATCTTCTATCAATCACAGATCCAAGCTTTAGTAAAAATGAGTTAATAACAAAATGAACAGGGGCCGGGGTTGTAGCTCAGTGGTAGAGYGCTTGCCTAGCATGTGAGAGTTACTGGGTTTGATTCTCAGCACCACATATAAATAAGGTTTCATTGGCAACTAAAATAAATATATATGGGCATTTAGGCACTATGGTGCCTGCCTGTAATCCCTGCAGTTTGGGAGGCTGAGGCAGGAGGATCATGAGTTCAAGGCCAGACTTCACAACTTAGTGAGACCCTGCCTCAAAATCAAAAGGGCTGGGGATGTACTCAGTGGTAAAGCACCCCTAGGTTCAGTCTCTAGTACTGCCAAAAGAAAAAAATATAAGAATCCCATTTTTGAGTCAACAGGAAAATTTACATAAATATGTGGTAAACAAAACAGGAAAAATAGAACTGCAAACATCATTCAAAGGTGTGCATTGCAGACTGGAAGTGATCAGGCAGCTTGCTGGCCTGCACCTCCCCACAAGGAGCCTCAGTCTTGGTTTGCACAGGACACTGATGGGACCCTTAGGACTCTACCCCTGAGAGCTCCCGGTTGTGACTTGGCTGTCAATCTTCGGAATTCCTCCCAAAGTCCGGTTGAAATCTGCTGTCCTTCACATCCCAGCCCCTAGCTACTTCAGACTGGCCAATGGACTAGGGGTTTGGAGAGACTTGCCCAGCATTTTCCTGGGAAGATAAGTGAACATGAGCTTCAGGTCAGGAGGAGGTACCTGTGTCTGCCCATGCAGGGGTGAGGGTGGATTCTGCTCTGTGGAAGGTGCAGTTCATCTGGGAGACCTATAATTAAAATCAACGGTTAGTGCCCCCCAGCTATTTGTTAAGCRAGTGCATTTGATGTTCAAAGAGGAAAGCTCTTGGCCAGAAATGAGGGCCAAACCTGCKCTCTGGTTCCTAACAAGAAGGCAGCCTGTACCAAGAGCATGAGACTTGGTGACAGGCAGTCCTGGTTCACACCCTTGCCAGCTGTGTGGCCTGGGCAAGTTACTGAACCTCTCTGAACCTTCAGTTCTGTTACTAGAGTGAACCCTGAATTACTGTTAGCCTGTTAGCCTGTCAGTCAGAGGCCTCTGACGGGAAGTGATCACCACCTGCTCCAGAGGGGACACATCCCCAACCACGAGGGGGCTCCTCAAGGTTCCATACAGCTCACATACCACCTTGACACCTCAGATGACCTTGGGCTCATTGTAAGCTCATTGTATTGATTGAAATAAAACAAAATACCCACCAGCATCTAACCGTGCCCAAATTAGACAATAAAAGACTTGGACACCCTGATCTCTGGAAACCTCCCCTTTCCCATGAGAAGTTCTGATGGCAGCACACTGCCACACCCCTCATCACCCAGCCCGAGGGATGCCCTGACCCCAGACCTGCTGGGGAGAGGGGCCTTGGGAGCGCAGGCTCCTTCTCCACTCGCAGGCCATGGGATCCAGTTTCCTGTCTGTTCCCAGAAGAGTTTGCTTATTTGCAAATGGCACCAAGTAGGAACAGAACTTGCAGATTCCATAAGAGCTCCTCATGTGTAGGCAGGAGATACACCTGAATGGAGAGATGAAGTGGGACAGTCTCCCGACTCCTAGCTAGGGCTTACCATCCGTAACCGTTATGATCAGTCTGTCCACATGGACTTTCTGGAGAGACAGTCCCTGTCTCAACAAACCCTGGGGAAAGATCTGCCTGGGAGGAGAACTCTGGGTGGCGGCTGGGAGAGGGAGTCTGGGTTCCCAGGAAGACCTGCACCAGGCCCCCTGGGATCAGGCAAGGCTGAGGCATTTCACAAACACAAAAGCCCTGCCATCTCCGATTACAGGAACCTCCCACAGGAGAGAGTTAAMGTGAGGGGACTGGTGTAATTGTGTTCTTTCAGAGTGGCTAAGCAACTTGCCCAAGGTTGTACAACTCAGCCATCCGAGGTCTGGCCTCTTGCCCTGGCCATAGCTGCCAGATCGTGATGTCACTAGATGGCAAACCCTGTCTCTCACAGTTCAGAAGCTACAGATGGTCTGGCCCACAGGCCACAYGACAATACAGGGTCCTGGACAGGCCCGGCTTATTTGTCTGAAGGTAGGATAAGGTTCCCCACATGTATTTCTGCCACAGAGACACGATTATTATACTCCTTTTACAATAGAGCTGACTCAGCCACAAACAGGTTATCATGCCCAGGGACAGGTGACTTCAGTGAGATGTGATCTGCTCTCCATCGATTGCCTCTAGTGTGAGCAAGTCAGTCCGTGAGTTTGGGGCCCACACAGAAAGATGCCGGCCACCCTGTTTCCACCTAGGCCCCACAAATATTTTATTTAACATTTTTCCTTTAAATGACTCGTATTTTCTCAAATATATTTGTATTACTACTGGTACCCCAGAGAAAGAGAACCAATAGGATGTACACAGATTGAATTAGAAGGAAAAAGATTTATTTTAAGAAACTGGGGGCTGGGGATGTGGCTCAAGTGGTAGCGCACTCGCCTGGCGTGTGTGCGGCCCCGGTTCGATCCTCAGCACCACATACCAACAAAGATGTTGTGTCCGCTGAAAACAAACAAACAACAACCAAAAAAAATCAAAAAAAAAAAAAAAAGAAAGAAACTGGCCCGTGTGTGTGTGTGTGTGTGTGTGTGTGTGTGTGTGTGGTGGGTGCTGGCTAACCTGAGGCTCCAGCACAGGCCAGCAGCCTGATACTGTGTCGGGGGCTGAGGGTGTACTCTTTACTGTGATGAAGGCAGGCTGGAGGGAGAATTCCTTTCTCATTGTGTCATGCTGCAGTCAGAGTGAACAGTAATTCCTTTCTCACCTGGGGACCTCGGTCTTTTCTCCTAAGGACTTCCACTAACTGAACGAGGTTTACTAATAATGTGGGCCAGACTCTGCTTCATTCCAAGTCTATTGATTTAAATGTTAATCACGTCTAGAAAATGACATCAGAGTGACATTACACTAATGTTTGAGCAAAGAACCTAGTGAAGCAAATGTGAAAAATTAAACATCACAAAAGAAAAATTTGCTAACTCTACTAATATTTAGAATCAGTCTTACTTTCTTACTTCCAGAGATTATGCTAAAATATATATAGTGATTGATATATAAAACAAGTGTAATATATCCTGGGATATATATCATATATAATGTATGCTAATGATATGTAGTGATTAGGCTTATATATTTATATATATTTATATATATATATATTGCATGTAATATATATGTATTGATATTTTATATATCACATATATATCATGTATATATATCATATGTGATGTCTACTTTCACATGAATTAAAATTCTACATTTAAAGGTCACTTTCAAATACTCTGGTCACCAACAACACTATTAAATTAATTATTACACCTTATCATAAGAAACTTTTTTTTTTTCCTGACCTGGACCTAAAAGAAAAACAGGTCTGAGAATGCCTTTGCTCAATAAGTGGGAGAATTGTGATTTATATGCCTAGGATCTGATTACTTACACTCTTTTTTTTTTTGTAAATATTTATTTTTTTTAGGTGTAGATAGACACAACACAGTGCCTTTATTTTTATGTGGTGCTGAGGATCGAACCCAAGGCCTCCCACGTACTAGGCAAGTGAGTGCTGTACCAGGCAAGCTCGTGCTCTACCGCTGAGCCACAACCCCAGCTCCTACTTACACTCTTAATCACACTTTCCAACAAACCCTGAACGCTCCACCAGTAGTGTAGTGCTGTGTAAGCTCACAAAGCACAAGGGTAAACCGCCTGATGGGAATGACAGTGATTTTTCATCAAAGAAAAAAAGAAAGAAAAATGACCCCTAGTAGGTAATGGCTAACATGTCCAGTCACCAACCCAAAGGAAGACTTAAAATATCCTCTTAGATCATGTCTTTGAACTACAGATGTTTTTGCATGATTATATATATATATGTATTTATTTATTTATTTTTTTTGGGGGGGGACCTGGGATTGAACTCAGGGGCACTTGACCACTGAGTCACATCCCCAGCCCTATTTTGTATTGTATTTAGAGACAGAGTTGAGCTGCTCACTGAGTTGCTTAGCACTTCACTTTTACTGAAGCTGACTTTGAACTCCTGATCCTCCTGCCTTAGTATACACATTAGTGGGACTTATCACAGATTTTACATATATATAAATAAGTCTGGCTAAGATGTATGTAGCTAGCGTGTTCCTCCCCAGGGCCTGCTGTTGGGGACCCTGCCCTGTCTCTCACTGTGTGCACCTTTTGTTTTTCTCAATAAAATCAGTCTGTGCCTCACTTTGACAGGTCCCTAAATTCCTTTCTGGGACAAAGTCAAGAACCTTAGGACCTGAGTCGAGGTCCCTCCCTCCC